CCCCAAACCCCCAAAACCCCAAAACCCCAAAACCCCAGTGGTCCCTCCAGGTATTGAAATTTTATTCTTCAAAGAAATAAATTATGGTTATTATAATATGAAAACTTCTACAAAGACTCAGAAGGAAACAGTTTGCTCCCTAGTTGCATTATTTTTGACTTTTGAAAAGACTCATTAATACTATGGCGTTTGAGTTGTCTTAATTTCATCCTCTTCCCAAAGGAAGCAAGGTCATATTTTTGGGACACAGTCGCATTCTCGTTGAATTTCTTCCTTTCAACAGACAGGTCATACCCACTTCGCTCTGAGTCTTCTGAAAAGTAGTGAATTTTTCGTGGAGGTAACTGCTCTAAGTTTAGCTTGGGAACTAGAGATGGCTTGCGCTGTTTCTTCGGCTGGCCCTCAGTTATATTCATGATAGATGTTGTATCAGATATGGCTGGGTCCCTGTTACCTGGCAACACTCTTTCGGATAAAGAGATATATTTACGAGGTCGCTCTTTAATTCAGTTTTCAGGAGACTCATCATCAAAATATTTAGAAAAACGTTTGGTTGGAATTTCTTTTATTTCTTGTTCAAATATCTCACCGACAGGAAGCCCTTTTTCTTTCATAATATAGAGGAAATACATTAGTTTGTTTTCGCGTTGTTTGCAATAGTCAACTTCGTCTTTAAATTCTTGGATCACTTCTTTCATCTGTAAATTTTCTCTGTTTATCACTCTCATTTCTTTAAGTAGCCTCTTATCTTTTCGATTTAGGTCTTCCTGGTCAGCTCCAGAATTATTCTTGAGGTCTTTAAGTTCTTTGGTAAGTTGCTCAACTTGTTGACGGTGCTCTTCTACTTCGAGTAAGCTCTTCTTCTGTTCAGTTACTAGCTTGAGCTCCAAAGCATTCATTTGGTCAAGGATGTTATTTACCGGAGAGTCAAACTTGTCTTGAACGCTTTGGATTGTCCGAAGGTTACGCTCTGCATTGGAAATGATGTCCTCTATCTGTCCATCATAATTGGTCTTCATGATCTTCATTAGGCACTGTAAATTATCATCTCTAATTAGAGTCAAACACTTGTGGAATCCTTCTTTGAGCACTGTATGCTTAGCTTTCAGGCTCTGCACTTGCTCAAGGTCGAACTCATAACGAGGGTTACGAAGCATCTCATAAATATGGAGTCTCAGTTTATCTTGGTTAGACTTCTGACTCATCTGAGTCAAATTTTCATTGTAATGCTGCTTTCGGATGGTAAACTCTATTTGCTTCTTCTTAAGATCTTTGTCAAGAGCATTGATCTTGTCTTTAAGAGACTTCTCTATGTTATCTTTAACCACATTGACAATGGAGCGTTCTTTAGTAGCTGTGGTTCGCTTATCCACAGACTTCTCATTGTTCCTCAATTCGTGAGAGGCTGAAGAATCAGGACCAGTAATTCCTCGTTTTCTTTTGAGGGTCTCACTCCTAAATTTTGAATGAAAACCTTTCATTTTATTGTTTTTGCTGATCATCTTGATCACCATGGAATTTGACTGGGGAATTTGGGAGCTATTGATTGAAGTAAGGTTCATCCCGTCGAGGGTCAGATTGTTCCTACTTTTATTTGGACATAAACAGGGGCTTTTGAGCTAGCTTTGTGTTGCATACTTTGCTGCCACTCTTATTCCTACTCAAAGATTGGTACCTACAGAAATTGGAAGCACTCATTTTGCTATTGATAAACTTCTTGCTTCTAATGTTTTGTGGTGTTGACAGCCCAGAACTGTATAGTAGTAAAGTAGAGTTCTTGTTAACTCTTAATGAACTCCCTAAATCTTCTGGAACGAGGCTAAGTTCTTGAATGGAATTAGAAGAAAGGACTGGGTCAACTAAGGATCATCAATGTTCTTTGTCCATCATAGTTCTTCTCTTGTCAAGGAGTTTAGCCTTATCTAATTCTGAAGGTTTGCCCTTTGGAGGTTTGTAATCCTTAAATCGTAGGTCTTCTTTTTCCTCTGCAGTATACTTTTAAAATCGAGTTTGTATGTTTATTTCTTGAGCATAGAAATTGCCTTCTTTTTTTTCATTATAAATTTTGACTCTTCTTTCTGGTGAGATTTTTCTTTCTCTTTGATATATGTTTTGCTTAAGGGATTCCCCACGTTTTCGAAAGTGCTCAGAGTCACAAAGGAAGACTTAGCTAGTGAATCTTCTGTTGAGTTCTTTTGGTTTTTAGACCTAGAACCATTAAAGTTCAGAGTTGAATGAAGCATTTTTAGGGAAAATTATTAAATGTTAAGATAAAGCAGGCTTAATTTTTATTTAAGAAAGAAAATAGTAACAATAACAAAAAAATGCTAATTCACAAATTTAATACCTCAAAAAGTCATGCTTGAGGTCTTGGAATCTTAAGTCTGGAGATTTTGTTTCCTTGAGATGAACCATGTTGAGGCTTTTAACAAGATCTTTTGCATTAATGATCCCTATAATTAAAAGGTAAGATCCGCTATGTCCAAGGTAATTGATAAACCAATTCAATGGAGATACCTAGTCTACATACTCTTTTTATGATTTCTTGTTGCCATTAATAAAATATATATGATTCTAATAGACAAAGAGTTATGGGGTTTTGGGGTTTTGGGGTTTTGGGGAGATCGGA